AGACAGATGCAAAAACAGAGACAAAGGGATAGGAGGAAAAGAGGGAAGGGAAGAAACAGAGAGGAGAGAGACAAATGCAGTGACTGAAAGAGAGAGCCAGGTAATAAGTGCTGACATTTATACAGACTCCAAAGTTTCCAGACTGCTTTACATTTGACAGAAAGACAAAGAGAAAGAGAGAGAGACAGAAAGAAATGGCATGGAAAAGAGAGGTTTTTTAAGAAAGGTGAGTTGGGGAGTGAGGGGCCAATGGGGTGGTGCTAGTTAAGGGTCAGAATCAGGCCTGGAAAATAGGTCTTCTTCAGAGTCCAGCCTTCTCTTCAGTAAGCCTCACTATTTTCCTGCAAAGACAACATTCTGTCCCAGTAGAACGCAGTCACAGAGCTGAGGCCCCCTCCTTCGCTCTCACCTCTCCCATACAGAACCACCAGCTTCACCTGTTTCTGCGGTCCCATTGGCCAGTTGTCAGAGTGTGTTATCACTGCCTGGATCCCCATTGCCTTCCCAGTAGAGAGAGACAGAAGGGCCCGGGGGCCCCTCAGAGCAGTGGGGGGGCCAAAGAAGGGGCTGCCCCCAGGCAGCTCCTGCTGCAAGTGAGCTAGCCCTCGGCTGTTGGGCCACGTTGTCTAAATCAGCTATCTGAGGCGTTGCTGATCTTGCTGTGACTTACATAACTTCTCCTCTGCCTTTGTCATGCTGCGGTGGGTTCGACAAAAGCAGCCAGGCTCGATCACACTGAGTCTACAGCGCCAGGACACAAAGAGCAGGGTTTTCTTTGGCTTCTTCTAATGGCGTCTCCCTGCAGGATCGGAGGTTTGTTCTAGGATGGCATTATGGATCTCGCAGCAGAGCTACGCTGAATTCCCCTGTCACCTCCTACGGGCTTTATGAATGGGAGTGAAGAGCCCGAGAAAAAAGAGGAAGGCGTGGGATACGGGCCACGGGGTCTGGGGAGCAGCATGTTCTTGGGATGGCACTCAGAGTGTCCCTGAGAAGGCATTCAGCCCTCAAGGAGCAGCACTAGGGATCTGAGGTCTTGTCCCCCAGGGTCAACCACACTGCCAGAAACATGGCAGGTGCTCCAGATGTAAGCAGAAGGATCAAAGAAGGATCAAGCCCACATCAGGGCTTCCTAACTTGGGGTCCATTTTCTTTTAGAAAATGTCTTGATAGCTGCATTCTGACACAACTGGTTTCCTTTGTAATCTACATATTTCATGCATATAAAAACATCCTGAAGCAACATCCATAGGGTTCCCCAGAATTTGAAAGGTGTCTGTAACACAAAAAAGTTCAAGAACGATGCTCTAGATGGGGAGGAAGAATCTGAGAGCTCGATGGGACCTCAGTGGCCATTAACTGAACCCTTACCCACAAAGGAAGCCCTGTTATTAACATCCCTGATAAGGGGCTTCTCTTCTTCTTCTTTTTTTAATATGAGGCAATTGATGTTAAGTGACTTGCCCAGCGCCACACAGCTAGTGAGTGTTATGTGTCTGAATCTGGATTTGAACTCAGGTCCTCCTGACTCCAGAGCCAGTGCTCTATCTACGGCATCACTTAGCTTCCCTGGGGCTTCTCTTCTTGAAGAGACCACCCCCCACACCCCTTCCCCTGCCTCCATGATAGCCCATCCCATAGCCCTAATGGCTTGGAAATTTATCCTGACCTCATGCCTCAGTTTACCTTTTTGGCAACTTCCATCTGATTGTTCCTAATTCTGCTCTTGGGAGCCAAACAGAACAAATCAGATCTGAATGCCACATGACAGCTCCTTGATAACAATTAACAGCTGTCATGCCCCCCTTTCCTAGGTTAATAACCCCATGATCTTTCAAATATGGTTGACAGTGGCTCAATACTCCCATCTGACAGTAAGACCTGAGCATGCAGCTCACCTGGGCCAGGTGACCTGAAATCATCTGCAGACTCAGCTCTCTTACCATCTCTTTGCTTCTCTTGGGCATCAACTCCCTGTTACAGCAAGGTCTCTGTTAGTGCAAATACTGAACCCCCTAATGCGGGTGAACAGCACCACCTATTCCCCCTGGGCTGGAACTGACAACCAGATCTCACATCCCTCTGGATAAAGCAAACTGGAACACAGGTAACTACTGGCGGGGAAGTCATTTTTCACAGGAGATGGGCTTCTCTACGCTCCTCAGCACAAACATCACTGTCCTTGGCAGAGAAAACAAGCCAGTTAAGCGTGTCCTTCTCTGTGGCTGGCCATCAGCACATCCCCTACCACACGCGGAGGCCCCAACCCTTCTTTCACCTTTTCTTTCTCCTCCCAGTAGAGTTAGATAAATATAGATAGATATGGATGAATGAATGATTGAACCCCTCCTAGCCTCTTTCATAAACCTCAGCTCATGTTTACCTTCAGCATTCCTGACACTATCCACCCAGGCCCTCATCAGCTCTGGCCTCCCAGCTGGCCTCACAGGCTCCAAGCTCTCCCAGCTGCAGTATATTCTCCATGCAGCTTCCAGTGGGACTTTCCTAAAAGGCAGATCTGACCTGGGACTTCTCTGCTCAGCCATGCCAGCCTCTCCCTGTTCTGCCTCCCCACGGGCCTCCCCCCATACCCCACCCCTCACCTCTGCCTCATGGATTCTCTCTCTTTCTTGAAGAGGCAGCTCAAGCACCTCCTGCAGGAAGCCTTCTTTAATCTCCCTGTCTCCCTCCCAAACCACCTTGAATTTAATTCCATGTATATAAGGGTGTGATATATGCAAATATATGCATATCTATTCATGTTTATTAACTTTATGATATGTATATATATGTATGTATATATATGTATGTGTGTATGTGTGTGTGTGTGTGTGTGTGTGTGTGTGTGTGTGTGTGTATTTTGACAGTTAGGTGGCTAAATAGAGCACTGGGCCTGAAGTCAGGAAGACTTATCTTCCTGAGTTAGGATCCGGCCTCAGACACTTGCTAGCTGTGTGACCCTGGGCAAGTCACTTCACCCTGTTGGCCTCGGTTTCCTCATCTGTAAAATGACCTGAAGAAGGAAATGGCAAACCACTCTAGGATCTCTGCCAAGAAAACCCCAAATGGGGTCACAGAGAGTTGGATACAACCAGACAACCACTGAACTAAGGATCCCTGAGTTAGAAAACCACATCTTAACATCACCTGCGTTCAACTGCATTTTTACTTCTTTATTTCCCAATTTCACTTTCATCTGGCTCTGGGGGCACTCAGACGTGGCCACGTGACTGCCACCTCTGGTCTAGATGTCCATTCTTGGAACTTTGGGATTCAGACTGGAGGACATGCAAGGTCCTTTCTGGATTTAAGTCCATACCTCTGCCTGGTACTCTGAGATTACCCCCAATTTATCTTGTATACACTTTGTTTGTACATAGCTGTCTGCATGTTATGTCTCCCACCAGACTGTGAGCTTCCTGAGGCAGGGACTGTTTTTGCCTTTTTCTGTATCTTTGGTGCATAATTAGCATAGTGCCCAGTGCTTAATAAATGCATAACTTGACTTGCTGCCTCTCCTACAACTGAGGCCTCCCCTTCCTACCAGTGTGACCTTGGCTAAGTCATTGTCACCCCTCCAGAGCCCACTTTGCTTATCTGCAAAACTGAGGGGTTGGAGCAGATCCCTAAATGTGTGATCTTACTAACTCCCTTCTGAATGGGGTTTGCAAGCAGAGAGAGCAGGAGACAGTGAGAAGAATGGGGGAGTTGGGAGGAAAGGGCCATGGGTTCAAATCCCACCCCTGACTCATTTGACCTTCCTCTCTCTGGGCCTCAAGATGAAGGGCGTGGCCTAGATGACCTCCAAGGTCCTTCACACTCTGAGCCAGAGGGTCACATGCCAGGTTCCATTTTGGGCTCTAATCACCTCCAATCACACAGACACTTTGGGCCAGTGGGAACCCTTGCTGTGTTCCTCAGTGAGCTGGTGTGGGCCCAGGGAATGGGATGAGTGTCTGGGGAGGGAAGAAGGGAGAGAGGAAGAAAGAAGGAAGGAAGGAAAGAAGGGGAAAGGAAGAAAAGAAGGAAGGGAAAAGAAAGAAAAGGGAGGAGGAAGGAAGAGAAAAAAGAGAGAAAGAGAGAGAGAGAGAGGAAGGAAGGAAGGAAGGAAGGAAGGAAGGAAGGAAGGAAGGAAGGAAGGAAGGAAGGAAGGAAGGAAGAAAAGAAGGCAGGAAAGAAAGAAGGAAAAAGAAAAGAAGGAAGGTAAAAGAAAAAAGAAGGGAGGGAGGAAAGAAGGAAGGAAGGGAAAAGAAAGAGAAAGAAAGAAAAGAAGGCAGGAAAGAAAGAAGGAAAAAGAAAAGAAGGAAGGTAAAAGAAAAAAGAAGGGAGGGAGGAAAGAAGGAAGGAAGGGAAAAGAAAGAGAAAGAAAGAAAAGAAGGCAGGAAAGAAAGAAGGAAAAAGAAAAGAAGGAAGGTAAAAGAAAAAAGAAGGGAGGGAGGAAAGAAGGAAGGAAGGGAAAAGAAAGAGAGAAAGAAAGAAAAGGCAGGAAGGAAAGAAGGGAAAAGAGAGGGAGAAATAAAGTAGGAATGAAGGAAGGGAAAAGAAAGAAAGAGGGAGAAAGAAAGAAAAGAAGGCAGAATGAAGGAAGGGAAAAGAAAGAAAAGAAGAAAGGAAGGAAGGCAAGGAAGAGAAGGAAAGAAGGAAGAGAGGGAGGGAAGCGAAAGAAGGAAGGAAGGGAAAAGGAAGAAAAGAAGGCAGGAAAGAAAGAAGGGGAAAGAATGAAAGAGAGGGAGAAAGAGAGAGAAAGAAAGATTGAGCTGACCAACCCTAACCCCTGAGAATTCAGGGTTCTGGGCAGGAGCACAGTCAAGCCCATTTCATTAAGAGGTTCCTGGTTCTCTTGTCTGACAGCGAGCAGTGGCTGGGGGCTAAAGCCTCAGCGTGGGGGCAGCCTTTGGCCAGAGCAATAGATATCATAATTAAAGAAGTATTTTCTGCAGTACCATTCACGTGTTCTGCTCAGACCTTACAAAGAAAGGTTAGTGATAACAGAAAGCAGAAGCCGGGCAGGCCGATTCCAAAGGAGGCCGAGTCTATCCTAGTGTCTGCTTTAGGGAACTGGCTTCCCACAGCAGAACCCAGAGGAGAGATTACTCGGAGGCAGTGGAGAGATAGCGGAAGGGGCCTGAGGAATAACAGAGTTGGTTGCAGGCTTTTAAACCTAGCCTTAACTCCCAGAGAGCCAGCCGGCTGCCTGAAGGGAGCTGCCCAAAGCTAGCGGAGTTCTGTGACGGCTTTTGGAAACCCTGGGAAGGGCTCATCTAGATCCAAGGATGCTTTCACTGTCTAAGGACCCAAGACGGGAACCACACCTTACCGGAGGTGCCAAGGGCGGAGGGGGTGGGGGCGCCCCAGTGGGGGGTGGCGGGGGGGGCAAAGGCGGCGGCGGGGGCGGTGGCACTGGCATAGGTCACGGCTTGGATGTCCCCTTGCTGACGAACAGTTCCAGAAGATCGTCCTCAGTTCTGAAAGACAGAAAAACAAAGATGTAGCTTATGAGAGTTTAAGCATGTACTGGAGAAAGAACAGGCAGGGAGAAGACATGTCCCCTTTGAAGCATCCCAGACGAAATGTCCATCCTAGGAGGCCCGGCCCGGCTAAGGCCAGCTCGGGCCTTCTTCAGCGTGGCCACAAGCTAACGGACATTTTAGCCACAGGACCAAGGCTACGACTGTCATCCATGTGGGTGACAAATCATGAGACCAAGGCACGGGAGATCCCAGAAGGGGGCAGGCAAGTGAGGGGTTCTGCGGGGCGGGATTTTCCAGATAGAACAATGACACCAATAAAAACAGCTATCTACATTTCCACATGTAATCTATGTGGCAAGACTACAATTGTATGAGAGTGACAGCGCCTGCTCCCAGGACTTTGGTGAGGATTGAATAATATACAAAGAGCGCTTGGAGACCTCAAAGCATTTACAGATATTGTCATTATTATTATCGTTATGCCTCAAAACTAGCAAAGGGCTTTACCTGCATTGTTTTATTCAATCTCTACTAAAGCCCATGAAATAAAACTTGGAAATAGTATTATTATTCCCATATAACAGATGGGAAATAGTAAAGTGGTGAGCTCCTGATTACACAGCAGGTAAGTGACTGAGGCAGGATACAAATCCAGCTCTTCTCAATTCCAAAGCCGGTGCTCTAGCTCACAGGCAGGGTGGTTCAGTGGGAAGAGCCCTGACCTTGGAGTTGGAAGAGCTGGTTCAAAGCCTTGTCTCATTTGCTACCAAAGAGAGAGAGAGAGAGAGAGGGAGAGAGAGACAGAGAGACAGAGAGACAGAGAGGAGAGGAGAGGAGAGGAGAGGAGAGGAGAGGAGAGGAGAGGAGAGGAGAGGAGAGGAGAGGAGAGGAGAGAGGAGAGGAGAGGAGAGGAGAGAGGAGAGAGGGGAGGGGAGGGGAGGGGAGGGGAGGGGAGGGGAGAGGGGAGGTGAGGGGAGAGGGGAGGGGAGGGGAGGGGAGGGGAGGGAAGAGGAGAGGGGAGGGGAGGGGAGGGGAGGAGCGGAGAGGAGCGGGGAGGAGCGGAGCGGAGCGGAGCGGAGCGGAGCGAAGAGAAGAGAAGAGAAGAGAAGAGAAGAGAAGAGAAGAGAAGAGAAGAGAAGAGAAGAGAAGAGAAGAGAACGCATTCCTGAAAACTCCCTCTTCCTTCCTCATCTCGAATCATTCAGAATTCCTTCCCCATTATCTCTTCCTTCACACCTGTCTCACTTGGCCTTTCTCCTCGCCAAGGCGAACCCTTCTATGTGTTCCCTGATTCCATTTCACCTTCATTTCCAGTGGAATGCCCTTCTATCATCCTCACGCTCTCACTAATCTTTAATCACATTCCTGACTCTTCCTGTTGCTTAGAAATGCACTCATGTCTCTCCTTCAGCCTTGTTCGAATTTGTTTGAACCCTCAAAGATGCACTCTTGTTTGAGCAGGCCATGCCTGCTAGCTACTATCCTATGGTACTCCTCCCCTTCTTGATTAAACTCCTGGAAAACGCTGCCCACACTGGATATGTCTACTTCCTCTCCTGCCTCTCAAACCTCTGCAGTCTGGCTCCTGTCTCTGCCTGGATTGCCCTCTCTCCTCATCTCTGCCTCTTAGGATCCTCCACGGACCTGCCCAGATGCCATCTCCTACAGGAAGCCCTTTCTGGGTCTCCTCTCCTCCAGAGAGTACTTTGTATTGGTCATATATCAATTTATTTGTGGTTAGCTTGGATTGCTCTGGAGAATATAATCAACTTGAGAGCAGCAGCTGTCTTATTCTGTGTCTGGATCCCCAACACATAACATGGAGCCTTGCACATAGTAAGTGCTTAATAAATGCCAAATGAATCAATCAATCAATCAACAAGCGAGTTAAGAGGCGTGGGCTCTTACTTCCCTTTGGCCACTCTAGATCACGGCAAGGGATATGTCTTAGGTTGCCTATCTGGAATACGCCATTATATTTGGAACATATTATTAGTGCCAAAGCACTCTTTGGAATGAAAGAACAATTTGATACAGCATTGGACCACCCAGTATAACCCCAACATGGTTACTCTATAAAACTGTTGAATCCATGAACAATCTGCAAGTGTACCTACAGTCAGGGCTAATAATGACAGTGTTCCTGTCTACTCCTCAGAGATGCATCAAAGGAGATCAAAAAGGATGAGGGTCAACCCAGATGGCCACATCTTTTTCCAACAATCTATCTATCCTTCACAACTATGAGACAGTGTGATATAATGGAATGTGCTAGACCACACAAGACATTGCATTCACACTGTGGGAGATAAAAATATGTCAACTATATTCTATGCCCCTAGAAAATTTTATAATCAAGTCAGGGAAATGAGAAAAGTGTGTAAAGCACCTGTAGTACAGGAAAGAGTATGGAAAGGGTTAATTTTCTTTTTGGTTCGTTCTTCTTGGCCTCCTTCTCTTTCTCTCTGTCTTGATGACACTGAGCTAGCCTAGGGACTGCTGGAGTGCTGACTTCCTGAAATCCCACTAAATTATTTTTCACATTTCATTGTTCAAGGTCCTTTTTATATACCGACATTGCTTGATTGCCTTTTATATAAAGTCCTTTGGGGGCAGATCCAGCAATTAAGCAACTCTATGGAGAAGCATTTATTCAAATCTGACAGATCCAAACGGGAAGCACTAGAGAGACACAGGCTGTACCATTAGCTCTCAGCGGCTTCTCGCCCACAGTATTAAAATGGGAATTTTCTGGAAACATGTTTAAAAATTTGGGGGGAAAAAAGTTCACAATGTAGAGAAAGGGAAGGTTTGGAAAGGCTTTCATTCTCTCTCAACTTATGGAATTCTCTGACATTTGCAGGATTCATCACTGTAAGCCTTGATCCTTCGGCCACTGATACAGACTGATCCTTTTGTAGACCAATTCATGAATTACTCTAGAAAAAAAAATGCCAGCTGGTGGTGGATGATCTGGTGAGGAGCTTCTTGGTCTGGGGCTCTTAACTGGGACCTGTGAACTTGGATTTTTTAAATATTCTGATAATTATTTCAATATATTCGGTTTGCTTTGTAATCCTGTGTATTTTATTTAATATGCTTGACATTACTTTGAGAAGGGGAGGCTTGTCAAAGGGCTCCATGGCACACAGGTTAAGAACCCCTATTGTAGGTGATCGATAAGGCTGATGCTTGGATCAAAGAGACACAAGACTGCTTCTCTTGAAGCCTGCCCAGGTCGGGAGGTTGGGCCAGTGCTTGCATTACTCTGGTAACATCTTCTAGAGCCCAGGTCCTCTCCATGGCACCATCAGGTCAGTGGCACAATTGTTCAGTGTTTAGCACAAATAAACCTTCTGAAATAGCTTAGAAAAATAAAATCCTAGGACCATGCACTCCTTTCTCACCTCTGTGTATATGTCCTAGAGGTAGTATGGTACAGCAGAAAGCACACTGGATATGAAGTCAGAGGACCTGGGTTCAAATGCTTCCCCTCTCGTAACTTACCAGCTATGTTACCTTGGATAAGTCGTTTAACTTCTATAGGCCCCAGTTTCCTCGTCTGAAAAATAAGGAAATTGGACTAGATGACTTCTGTGGTCTCTTCTAGCCCTGATGCTACAATCCCATGAAGCTTCTCTTGATATCCCCAATTGCTACTAGAACTAGGTGGCAGTATGGTGGATGGACTCAGGAAGATGTGAGTTCAAATTCCCCCTGAGGGTGTATATATCACTTAACCTCTCAGCCTCAGTTTCCTCTTCTGTAAAATGGAGTTAATAAGAGCACTTCTATAAGAGGGGTTGCCATGAAGACAGAATGAGGTAAAAAGAGTTTTGCGAATCTTAAAATTCCTTATAGATGTTGGCTATTACTATTGTTGGTATTGTCCTACTTTATTTATAAACATGTTGTTTACTCTCAATAGACTGCAAGCTTCCTGAAGGCAGGGGCTGACATTTCTAGCTTTGTGTCTCCACTGTCTACTACCTTTTGGGCTGGTTGTACCACTAACCCTTGTTGAATGAAGGAATTCAATCAGAGGTTTAGAGCTGGGAGGGACCTTAAATGTGACCAAACAACCCCACTCATTTCACTGATGGTACAACCTGAGATCCAGGGAGGCAAAGGACTTGCCTAAGATCACCTGGGTGCCAAGTGGCAGAGTCAGGATTTGAACCCAGGTTTTCTGGCTCCCAATTCAATGCTCTTTCTACCACACCCCACAAGCACTAGAGAGAAAAAGCAGCACTATCACAGACCCATAGTCACATCCTGATCTCTTCCTAACTGGCCCCTAGGTCCTTCATTTTACGTTTCCGTTGGTTAATTCCTTTACAGAGTAAATATTAACTGTGTGTGTCCTGGAGGCAGGGAGAAATAATAACTAATGACAATAGCTTGTATTTAAATACCTAAGGTTTGCAAAGCACTTAACTTGTATTATTACATTTGATCCTCACCACAACTCAAGGAGGGAGGGGCTACTATTATTATTCCCATTTAAAGATGGGGAAACTGAGGCTGAGAGCAGGGTGAAGCAATCTGCCCAGGGTCACAGAGCTAGCAAATGTCTGAGGCAGGATCTGGATTCAGGTTCTTCTGGCACCAAATTACGCAGCCAAATAAGACACAAACGACCTTGTCCTTCAGGAACTTAAAATCTAGTTGTCGGAATAAGATAAGTACATAGTAGGTTTAACAAATTTAAAAGCCCATGCTGCCTTTTGGGATACCCCACACAAAACGACGTAGAATGCGCCAAGGAGGGAGAGGTTCTAATAATACTTACTCATGCTTATGCTTTGGGGTTTATCAGCCTTTAAGCAGAAGGATCTTGGGACCACAGGCTTGGAGTTAGAAGAGATCTCAGCTCTAACCCAAGCTCCTCATTTTACAAAAGAGGAAATTGAGGACTCAGGAGGTTAAGTGACTTGCCCAGGGTCACCCAGATAAGATATTAGAGCCTAAATTTGGCCCCAAAACCTCTGACTCCAAAACCAGCATGCATCCCACTGGGCCACACTGCCTCTCCTTACAAGCTGGCTGACCACTCTGGGAGATGTTACAGAGGGTTTCCCTTCCCAGTCAGGTATGCATTGGACCATCTGGCCTCTAAAGTCCAGGAGGGTCTCTGCCAGCTCTGATGCTACCATTCTGCACAAAAAAAGGATGTAAAAGAAAGTTGGAGCCAGATCACAGGGCCTCAGAAGACACAAATCCTCACTGAGACTGTCTTGTTCTGGGATGGGCTAAGTAAAGTAGCAGGGGCTCCCCTTTACTCTGGGTAGGCTCAGCCAGGTGGGAGAGCTGTCAGCCCTGATGGGGCTTTGGGAGAAGACTCAAGCAGGAGCACAGAGCCAGAGCAGGGAAGGGCCTAAGAGGCCAGTGTCCCTGCCAACCCCTTCATGTTAAGATAGACTTGTATTGACAGCTTTTGTTTTTATATCACTGACATTTCCCAAGGCATGTTTGCTTCTTCCTTTCAGTTGAGATCACATTTGCCAAGTGCCTGGCACACAGAAGGTGCTTAATAAATGCTTGCTCCCTTCCCCTTAGAGAGTCATCCCTTAGACCAAAGAATCAAAAAGAAGGGTGAAAGCTTAGAAAAATTAAACAATACACTGAAAAACGCCTATATTATATGCACAAGCCCCTCTTTTTACAGATGAAGAAACTGAGGCCATAGAGGTGTCCTAGGGCATACAAGGGGCAGTGCTGGGGTTTTAACTTGGGTCCTAGAACTCCACTTTCCACTCTCCATTACCTCCTTTATGGGTTAAAATTTTTTTACACATGTGCGGATACATATGTACATGCATGTATGTATGCACACATATATGCACATGCACACATACACTCTGAGGAAGCAATGGGTATACACCTAAATTTGCATACACACACACACGTGTGTGTGTGTGTGTGTGTGTGTGTGTGTGTGTGCGTGTATGTATGAGAGAGAGACAGAAAGAAGGAGAGAGACAGAGAGTGAATCTGGGGAAACAGTGGGTATAAACCTATATTTGTGTAACACATATATGTGTATATAGGTACATACATGTGTGCATGTGTATGTATACATATATACAACACCTCTAGATACACACATATCCATGTCTACACATACACACATGTACACACACACATATATGAAAGAGACTAGTGAATAAGAGGCCAGAGTGGTGAGGGAACAGGTCTTGGGGCTCAGAAGAAATATGCTCTCTCTGCCCACAGGTGGTGGGTGGCTCTCTTTGCCAGGGGCACTGGGGGTAGCTGTCAGGTTTAGAAGAGATACTCTCAGCCAATGGTCATGGTCTCTGCCAGAGGTCCCCGGCCTCACACAGCAATGCCTCCCTCCACCAGCCCCACTCAAAGACAGATGGAAGACCCCATATGGGCTAATGATGCCCTCCATGGCTGATGGCACACAAAAGCCCTTCCAGGTGAGGAATGTAGACCTGCCACTGATGTCAAGCTGGCAATAAGCCCACCCAGCTGCCATCTCCCCTCCAGACAATCTGCCCATAACCTGTAGGGAGCCAGACAGGGACTGGACCCAAGTGTGGACTGAAATACCAGTATGTGGATGAAGGAAGGTCCTCTGGGTCCCGCCTAGGCTTGGGGAGCTATTTCAGGGGCAAGCCAGTCACTAAATCCTAACGGAAAGCCTTCCTCAGTTAGTGGGCACTAAACAGGCTTTACAAATATCAGCAAGCAGGCTCCCTCTTGCCTCTGACAGATCTCATCTTTGGCAGGCTCCAAGAACAGGTTTGAATAAGAATGGGGAGATGAAGTTCTCAACACAGTCACCCTCCATCCAGAGTGGGAAGATGCTAGGCTCTGGCTCTCAAACCCAGGGGAAAAACCCCAAAGAATCTGCAGCCTCTGGACTAATTAGGGACGATGACCGGGTACTGCCATCCAGTTCTCTGAGTACCACATACTGCTCTGCACATCTCTACTCACAAGAGGGACTCATCTCCTGCATGGATCAGCCTTTGATTCATCAAAAGATTCCCTGAAGCTGATAAATCATCTCACGTAAAGTCCAACAGCCCACGCAAGTGTATAGGAGAAATAAAAAGGGCAGGGCTTTCGAAGTAAATGCCAGCAAGTTTTTGGAAGCCTCAAGGTATAGGTCAAATTAATGACTCAGAAAACAGGAACCTTTGCTCCTGTTTCTCTTATGCTCATGACACTGCAGATCCCTGCTCTTGACCATCAGATGTCAATAATCAACAATGAAAGAGCACCCACCCTGGGCAGAGGACCTACTGCGTGCACAGTGTTGACTCGGGGCTTTTAACTTGCACTATTAATACCCTTTAAAAAGAATCTTACTCTCTACCCGATCCTCCCACTTAAATCTCTTCTGAAACAACAAAGCATGAATGCTACAATTTTGTTCCATTTGATTCAATTCCACCAATACTTATTAAGAACCTACCGTGTACAAAATCTCTACCTCTCCAGACTTATATCATGGTAATCCTCTTCACACAAATCTGACCTATTTGCTGCTCTCTAAGTCAGGCATCATCCTTTGCATGGGCTGTGCCGCATGCCTGGCATACACTCTTTTTTACCTCTGCCTTGGTTTTCAGTTTATTTCAAGGCTCAATTTACTCGCTGATTCTTAAGGGAAAACTTTCCTGGGCTTAATGGTTGGTAATATTCTTTCCTTGATTTATCTTGCACTGACTTACGTTAAGCTTCTTATCCCAGGAAAACTGAGGCCCTCTGAGGGCAGACGATGATTTTCATTTTTGTAAGCATCTAGATTTAGATTCAAGACTTGGGTTCAGATCCCACCTTAGCTACTTAAAGCTGAGCAACCCTGGCTTTCATTCTCTATAAAATGAGGGGACTGAACTAGATGGCCTCAGTGTTCTCAATCTACGATTCCATGAGCCCCCAGCACCTAGAAATAGGTCTTAGACTCAGTAGATGCTTACTCAATAAAGGCCAGTTGAATTGACTGGAATGTACTTGGCATTTGACCCCCCA